AAAGAGAACCTGCATTTAGAGAATATAAGTTTATTATAACTTTATATAGCTTGGGACTAAAAAAAAATCTGCATTTACAGAGAATTTAATATAACCTGCACTTAGAGAACATGCACTTTGAGAGAGTTGACTGTATATGTAATTGAGATTTACCTAGTCGATATTGAATAGTATCATCTAACGATACGATTCTGAGGTCTTTTAATTTTGAATATGGAAGTCAATGCCGAATGATCAGTGATGATAGTAAATTTAGAGCCATGTAAATAATGTTTAAAATAAGAGACTGCCCAAATAATCGTGAAGAATTCTTTTTCAGTTGTAGAGTAATTTTTTTTACAGGTGACATAGTTTGACTTGCATACAAAATAACCTTTTCATTAGTATCCTTGTCTCTTTGAGAAAGTATTGCACCAAAAGCAAATCCAGAAGCATCTGTTGATAAAATAAAGTCTTTGGAAAAATCAAAAAAAGCCAATACAGATGCGAAAATAAGTTTTTCCTTCAAAGATTCAAAAGCTGTTTGTTGAGAGGTGGTCCAGTTATAACAAATGTCTTTTTTTAGTAACTTGTTTAATGGAGCTGCTATTTTAGTAAATCCTTTTACAAATCGACAATAGTATGATGCTAGACCCAAAAATTCACATAATTGCTATAGGTCTCAAGGAACAAAAAATTCTTTAATGGATTTAATTTTATCAGAGTTAGTAATAATGTTTTCAGCACTCACTACATATCCTAAAAACTTTAATTTTTGTTTTGTGAAAAAATATTTAGAAGGTTTTAACTTAAGATTAGCTTGCCGTAGTATTTGAAAACTTGACTAAAATGAGTTAAATGATCCTTAAAAGAAGTTGAGAAAATGTTTATATCATCTAGGTATATCACAATGAATTTATTATTAATATTACTGAAAATATTATTCATTAGTTTTTGAAAAGTGAATGGTGCATTAGCAAAACCAAATGGCATAATATTAAATTCAAAATTTCCATATTCTGTGATAAAAGTAGTTTTTTCTTTGTCATTTTCATTAATCTCAATTTGCCAATACCCACTTATAAAATCTAATAAGGAATACTAAGAAGAACCACGAAGAGTATCTAATAAGTCATCTATACGAGATAAAGGATAATTGTTCTTTTTAGTTACTGAATTTAAACAGCAATAATCAATAAAAATCAGGTCTTATTTCTTTGATATACAAGAATGCAGGAGACGTTCACAGACTTTTTGATGGTCTAATTATATTTTTCTTTAGTATTCATTCAATTTCTTCCTTAAGATAAGTTTTTTCCTTAGAGGAATATCTATATAGCCTTTGTTTATAGATAATTCTTTATTTGTTCTATAGAGTATTTAACAATCTCAGTTTTACCAAGGTCATGTGACTTCTACACAAATATGTCAGCATTATTTTGGAGTAATTTCTCTAATTCAACTTGTTGGAAATACTAATTTCACCTATATTAAAAGACCGTGAAGTACATTCCCTATTACTATCTTCAAAATAAAATTCAAGTAAGTCTGTTATAACTTCATAAGTCTCAATTAATTGATTAGTATAAATTTTAGAGCAAGAGGAGCTACTATTAATAATAGAGGGGCATGTTATCAAATAATTAAAATTATTTAAATAAGTTTCTAATTCTTTGTAAAGTTCGCAGAGATTATTAAATTTACTATCTAATGAATTTTCAAGATTTTTAACCATTCGATATTGATCATTTTTATTTTTACTAAAGGTTAAAAAATTAAACATGTAATCATCAAGTTCCTCTTCCTCAAACTCATCTTTACTACTCTCACTATTTTTTTCAGATTCTTCTCCTTCTTCTACGACTTCTACAATTTTTGAAGATCGTATTTTTTCCAGAAGTTCATAACTCAAATATCAACATTCTACAGGTATTATTATTTCTTTATCTCTCACAACAACATCATTTCTGAAGCATTCCAGTTAATCTTAGCATAAGCTTTAGTAAGCCAGTCATTCCCAACAATTGCTTGATATGAATTCGCATCTGTTATCACAACATCAATAGAAATTTCAACACTAGCAACAATAAAAGAGAATGATGAAATTTCTCTAACTGCTCTTTATTCTCTCCATGAACATTGTCATATTTACAGTAGATAGCCTTTTCGCTTTTATACCTAAACATCCTAATAAATGAGATAATACTACACTACCTGAAGACCCGCTGTTCACAATTAATGGAATGGTTTCTTCAAGAACCTGAGCATATAAACTTAAGTTATTTTTGATTTTTCTTTTTACAATAGCCTTTTGCTTCTGTAATCTTTTAGACAATTCTATTCTCATTGAAGAAATAGTATGTAATAATTGATCAAATGTTATGTTAGCTGGTTTATCCCAAAGGTCTACAACAATAGAGTTGAAGATACTAGTGAAGATATTTGTAGAAATATGTTCTGATCATTCTTTTTACAAGAGATATTAGACTTCTTATTTTTCTTGTTATAGTCTGTATTTTTACTATTATCTTTTCTATCGTTTGTTTAAGTAATTGTTGATTCTAATATAGGATCATCTTGAAGGTTCAGATTTACTGTTTCTAATCTAGTATGCTTAGTACTCCTAGTATTATATTGTTTAAAATTTTCATTTACGAAAAAGAGAGTATCACTTTAGATATATGAACAAAATTTTGAGTTTCATTTTAAGCTTCATTAGGTTGATGTAGGTTAAGATTACTTAGTAAGTTCATTAATGATTAAAGGGTTTTCTGTTGATTAGGTATAGTGGTATTATGACAGTATTACGATTATTATTGTTATTAATACTATTTTGATGACCCTTACTACTATTACCATAATTAGAACTTCTATTATTGAAATTATTAAAATTTTTATTATTAGATCAATAGTTCTTATTTTGGTTAGGATGTAATCATTATTATCAGTTTTATCACAAAATTCTGACATCCCAAATCTTAACAAGTCATAATACTAGCATCACATGACATAACAATTAAAATTTAAAATCTGACAATGATTGTTAATGTGATTATTAATCTTTAAATATTAATTAGCATGTCAGAATTATGGTTTTTTGAGATTTTGAATGTTAAGATTTTATGGTAAAACCATTATTACCAGAACAATGAGGAGCTATATAGCTAGTACGTCCACAACTGAAACAAATGATGTTAAAGCATGCTTGATTTTTAGTAAAATTTTTATTTTAATCTTTTAACTGATGAAGCATATTATTAAGTGTTTCATTCAGTTTTTCAATAGCACTATCCATTCCATTCATATAACCTATACTAAAAAGTGAATTATGAGGATACATAATAGAAGAATGACTAAGATGATTATTATAAAGAGAATTTTGTTTGAAAGTATTCTCAAAGGCTTTGGCTTTGTTATATGCAAATTTTAAAGAATTAGCCGTAAAGGATGCCACCACTACAGATAACTCAAAACATAATCTATTAACAAAAATTTATGCTTTAGCTGTATTTGATATCAACAACTCCTGCTTAAAGAGCTCAACTATAACAGTATGATAAGTATCAATGTCTTCAAGAGGATATTGTTTCCTAGTAGATAACTCAAAAAACTATTTACTCTCCAAGGCTGGAGTCCAGAATTGAGTAATGAATTCAGGTCAAAAACTAAGATTACAGTTATGAGAGTCATTCTACCAATCAATATTTGGAGCTTAATTCCTTTGAATTAACTACCAACTTGCTACAGGGCCTTTCAAATAAGAGATAATAACATGTAATTTTCTAGCATCAGTAACTTGATTGGCTGTAAAAGCTTTTTCTATATCCTCTAATCAAGAAATATAATCTTGTTCTCCATCAGCGAACTCTGGGTATATCACTATATTATTCTCTCTAACAGGAGCAGCTACATTTACTTAAGGTGTAAGAGCATGCCTGATTTGATTAACGATCAGCAAGATTATTAAGAGCTCTAGCTTGATTTGAAGGGTTTTTAGCCATATTATTTTCAAAACTTTTAAAGGTTGAATCATTATTTAGAACTTCAGTTACAGTGTCTTTATCAGACTCCTCTCCAAGGTTCATTAAATCTTCACCTTCAGATCCTATTTTTCAATTCTATTTCCAGCAGCTTCTTCTTGAAGGTCATCAGAGTTCACGTTAAAATGATCATATTGTTAATATGCTTAAAGAAAGATGTCAGAAACTTTCTGATAACTTGGTGGATTCGCTAGATATTGAAAACCAAAAATAAGGTCGTGAACAGTATTATCAGGTAAATTATTAATAGGTTGATTATCAAGGTGTTCAAAAAGTTTGATAGTTGCTTGAGAATAGTTGGTAATGGGGTAATTATTGTCACAGATTAAAATGAAATCTGATAAAAATGAAACTGGTGAACTCTTATGCCCACCCTTAGAGTCTAAAAAACCCACATATACTTATTTATTAATAAATCTAACCCTAAATCCTACCCCTAATGCTAAAAAGAACTCCAAAAAATGTCACCCAAAAAATTTTAAATTTTCCTTAAAAAACCGAAAAATTTCGTTTTGATCAGATTTCATTTTAATTGTGACAATTATTATTAAGCCAATTTGCAAAATTAACAAAATAAAAAGATGGGTATTCAGTTACGAGATAACAAACTGGATATGAAAAATCAGAAAAATTTTGATAAAAATAATTAACAATTTCAGGGTTATCAGAGAACTTTCTATAATATCTATTATATAACTGATTTAATTCTAAATGAATATCGAAGTCATTCAGCTAATTTAAAAGATTATATTCATCAACTCTCCCTAACGATCACTCATACCAAACTTATGGCTAACGAAAACAGAAACTTGTTGGAGAAAAGTAGAAGAGACAACTACAAATAACGGTTTTTATAGAGGTCAAGGACTTCCAGGTTTTCCCTGAACTCCTCTGTATATTTAGTATGCAAGTTAAAAGCATTCCTGTACAAGATAACTGGCAAGAAGGTGGTGCCCTTGTACAGAAAATTTTAATAGAAGCTATGCTTCTGCTGACGTAGTTAAAGATAGTTGGTCTAAGGAGAACAACAAGCAAGTTTTCAATATGTTCTTTACCGAAGTTTAAGGCTACCTGCAATACCGAAACTCTCTTTCATATCCCCACTCTTAGTCTTTATGGAATTTCTCCAAAAAGTGAGAAAAACGGCGTACCTCCGTCAAAAAATCGACAACAACAATCGCTGCTGAAAAAGGAAAGACACGTACATATGTACGTGTCTACTTTTGGTTATAGTGTAAGATAACGTGATAACATTTGAAACATTGCAGAAGACGTGTCGACGGGATGGGATAGCAACTAGAAGTTTCGACCCTTGAAGCTCTACTTCAAGACCGGATGGTTTTTAATATTTTTACATCCTGGATATAGACATAAATAACTAGCGTAGAGTTTA